ATGTTCTCCATCATCCCCCATTGACGTTCTCCTTCCACATTGAAGTTCTCCGTCATAACCCGTTCATGTTCTTTATCCCCCATTGACGTTCTCCTTCCTCCCCCATCGATGTTCTCCATCATCCCCCATTGATGTTCTCCATCATCCCCCATCGATGTTCTCCATCATCCCCCGTTGATGTTCTCCATCATCTCCCATTGATGTTCTCCATCATCACCCATTGATATTCTCCATCCTCCCCCATCGATGTTCTCCATCATCCCCCATCGATGTTCTCCATCATCCCCCATTGATGTTCTCCATCATCCCCCACTGATGTTCTCCATCATCCCCCACTGATGTTCTCCGTCATCCCCATCGATGTTCTTCATCATCCCCCATTGATGTTCTCCATCATCCCCATCAATGTTCTCCATCATCCCCCGTTGATGTTCTCCTTCCTCCCCCATTGATTTTCTCCATCATTGCCCACTGATGTTCTCCATCATCCCCCATTGATGTTGCCCATCATACCCCATTGATGTTCCCCATCATCCCCCATTGATGTTCTCCTTCCCTCCCTCATTGATGTTCTCCATCATTACCCATTGGTGTTCTCCATCATCCCTCACTGATGTTCTCCATCATCCCCCACTGATGATCTCCATCATCACCCACTGATACTCTCCTTCGTCCCCCACTGATGCTCTCCTTCATCACCCATTGACATTCTCCATCCTTCCCCATTGATGTTCTCCATCACCACCCATTGACATTCTCCATCTTCCCCCCCATTGATGTTCTCCATTGCCCCCCATTGACGCTCTCCATCTCTCCCCCCTGCAGCACCCAGACAGCCCCAGGCCTGCCCAGGGAGGACGGGGCCCCCCCAAGGAACCCCCATAGGAAAGGTGGGTGTCCCCTCCCCCTGCACCCCTCATGGGGGGGGTCGTGGCCTCGCTGCAGCCCCCCCATGGCCTCTGTCCCCCCCCAGGAGATGAGAACAAGCCCGATGGAGGCTCCAAGGCCCGAAGCGGCAGCTCCGGGCGCGGCACCGGCGATGCTGAGAGGTGGGGGGGGCACTGGGGGGGCTGGATTGGGAATGGGGGGGTCAGCCTGAACCCCCCCTCCCAGCACTGTGGGTGCTGACCCTGTCCATGGGGGGCCCGGGGTGCAGGAAGGAGAGCAGGAGGGAGCACGACCCACGACCTGAGCCAAAGAAACTGGAGGAGAGCCCCCCCTCAGTGAGTTCCGGACACTGGGATAACCAGCATGGGAGACTGGGAGAACCCAATATGGGAGACTGGGAGAACCCAGTATGGGTGACTGGGATAACCAGCATGGGAGACTGGGATAACCCAGTATGGGTAACTGGGGTAACCAGCATGGGAGACTGGGGTAACCCAGCATGGGAGACTGGGGTAACCCAGTATGGGAGACTGGGAGAACCCAGTATGGGAGACTGGGATACTGGGATAACCCAGTATGGGAGACTGGGATACTGGGATAACCCAGTATGGGAGACGGGGATAACCAGCATGGGAGACTGCGATAAGCCAGTATGGGAGACTGGGATACTGGGGTAACCCAGTATGGGAGACTGGGATACTGGGATACCCCTGCATGGGATACTGGGATACTCCTGTGTGGGATACCCCAACATGGGACACTGGGATAACCCAGCATGGGATACTGGGATACCTCTGCATGGGACACTGGGACACCAAGATTACCCTGGCATGGGATACTGGGATACCCCCCAGATGAGACACTGGGATACCCTGGCATGGGATACTGGGGTACCCCAACACTGGCTCCCACTGCCATGGGATACCCCAAAGCTGGGACACCAGGATACTGGGACACCCTGACAAGGGACACCCCAACATGGGCCATTGGGATACCCCCATACCAGGACACCCCAACCCTGGGACACCCGTGTGGGGGGGGCGCATGTTTTTTGCCTATTTTGGGATTTTAGGTGATTTTTCCTCAGTGATGGATCTGAGGCTCTGGGGGGTTGCGACACTGACGCTTCCTCTTCCTCCTCTTCCCCCTTCCTCTTCCTCCCCCCTCCTCTTCCTCCCCCCTTACTTCCTTCTCCCCCTCCTCTTCCCCTCTCTTTCCCTCCCTCCTCCCCTCCCAATTCCTTTCCCCCCCCTCTCCTTACTCTTCCTCCCCCCCTTCCTCTCCCCCTTCCTCCCCCCCCTCCTCCCCCCTTCCTTTCCCCTTCTCCTCGTCCTCTCCTCCCCTCTCCTCCCCCCTCCTCTTCCTCCCCCTTCCCTCCCCCTCCTCTCCTCCCCCCTTCCTCCCCCCTCCTCTCCTCCCCCTTCCCTCCCCCCATCCTCTTCCCCCCTCCTCTTCCTCCCCCCTCTTCCTCCCCCCTCTTCCTCCCCCCCTTCCCCCTCCTCTTCCTCCCCCCCTCCCTCCCCCGTCCTCTTCCTCCCCCTTTTCTTCCTCCCCCTCCTCTTCCTCCCCCCTCTTCTTCCTCCCCCCCTCCTCTTCCTCCCCCCATCCTCCCCCATCCTCTTCCTCCCCTCCTTCCTCCCCCTCCTCTTCCTCCCCCCCTTCCCTCCCCCCTTCCTCTTCCTCCCCCCTCCCCCCCCCCCAGTTCACCCACACCACCAAGTTCTCAGCTCTCTCAGTGGACGGGGAGGATGATGGTGATGATGAAGGCACCGATTGAAGCCCCCCCTTTGGGCTGGAGCATCAGCACCCCCCAACCACCACCACCCCCACCAGAGCCCCCCTGGACCCCCCCCAAAGCCCCCCCCCCCCCCGGGGCCGCGGGACGGAGCCGGGAGGAAGAGCAGGGCTGTGGCCTTCCTCCCCCCCCCCCCACCTCAGCATCCTCATCCTCCTGCCCCCCCCCTCCCGCACCAGGAATGACCTGGAATGATCCCAGATTCCTCTCACTGGCCCCTGGGGGGGGGGTGAGGGGGGGCTGGAGGGTGGGGGGGTCCCCAATTTCCCCCTCTCTGTGTCCATGGAAAACTTGTTGGGATTGGGATGGTGATCCCTGGAACAGCCCCGGGGGGGGGGATCCTGGAGCTGGTTGGGAAAGGGGGGGGGAATGATCCTGGGGTGCTCCCGGTCCCCTCCCCCCCCGCCTCCCTCCATCCCACTCCAGATTGGGTGGTTTTGGTGTTTCCTCCAATAAAAGTGGTCTCTGAACACACAGGAAAAGCCGAGTCCTTCGTGTTCCATTGGGAATGATGGGAATGTGTCCCCCGCTGGGGGGTGTGGGGGGGACTGGGCTGGGGAGGGGGGAAACACCCACCCAGAGCACTCCTCTTCTTCATCCATCCATCCCCTTCTATTGGTCCTCTTCATCCATCTTCCTCTATCCAGCATCATCCTCTGCATCCTTCCTCCTCCATCCATCCTCTTCTTCCCCATCTTCATCCCTCCTCTCATCCTTCCTCCTCCATCCATCCTCATCCTCTGCATCCTTCCTCCTCCATCCCTCCTCATCCTCTTCATCATTCCTCCTCCATCCATCCTCATCCTCTTCATCCTTCCTCTTCCGTCCATCCTCTTCCTCGTCTTCTTCATCCATCCCCTTCTATTGGTCCTCTTCATCCATCTTCCTCTATCCAGCATCATCCTCTTCATCCTTCCTCCTCCATCCATCCTCTTCTGTTGGTCCTCTTCATCCATCTTCTTCTATCCACCATCCTCTGCATCCTTCCTCCTCCATCCCTCCTCATCCTCTTCATCCTTCCTTCTCCATCCATCTTCATCCTCTGCATCCTTCCTCTTCCGTCCATCCTCTTGTCTTCTTCATCCATCCCTTCTATTGGTCCTCTTCATCCATCTTCCTCTGCATCCTTCCTCCTCCATCCATCCTTTTCCTCTTCCATCTGCTTCCTCTTCCTCTATCTCCCTATTCCACCCATCCCCTCCATCCTCCTCTTCCTACTCCTTTTCCTCCTCCACCTCTGTTCTTCCTCCATCCATCCATCCCCTTCTATTGGTCCTCTTCATCCATCTTCCTCTATCCAGCATCATCTTCTGCATCCTTCCTCCATCCCTACTCATCCTCTTCATCCTTCCTCCTCCATCCATTCATCCCCTTCTATTGGTCCTCTTCATCCATCTTCCTCTATCCAGCATCATCCTCTGCATCCTTCCTCCATCCCTACTCACCCTCTTCATCCTTCCTCCTCCATCCATCCATCCCCTTCTATTGGTCCTCTTCATCCATCTTCCTCTGTCCAGTGTCATCCTCTGCATCCTTCCTCCTCCATCCTCTTCCTCCTTCCCCTTCCACCCATTCTTCCTCCTTCATAGATCCTCTTCTTCCTCTCCATCCACTTCCTCCATCGCTCTTCCTGTATCCAACCTCCTCCTCATCCTCTCCCATTTCCATCCATCATCATCCTCCTCCCCCCTTAACACCTCCCCAGTCCCATGTCCCTCCCCACAACCACATCGGAGCTCCCATTGCCCCCCCCAGTGCCTTTCCCATTGGGAATCCCTTCTCCACAGCCCCCCCGGGGGGGGGTGCACCCCAACCCCCCCTTTAACAGTACACCCCCCCAGTGCTGTCCCGGTTTCTTCACTTATTTTATGAATGGAAAAACCCCAAATCCCCCCAAATCCCGGGGGGGGGCGGAGCCACGAGGGGGGGGCGGGTCCAATGGGGGGGGGTCCCTAAGCCCCCTTTACCCGCCCCCCCAATAGGGGATCCGGTAACCGGGGCCATGACCCCGATTGTGGCGGGGGGGGGGGGGGGGGGGGCTATTTTGGGGCTGTTTCCGCTGTTCCCCCGATAAAGGGCATCTGAGGACACGGCCCCCCCCCTCCCTGTTGGTGCCCCCCCCCCGTGGCCCCCCTTTGGTGCCCCCCCCCCCGGCACGGAAGCGGCTCCGTGTCGCGGAAGCCGGGGCGGGACCGGCCCTTCCCTCCCCCCCCCCCACCTCCAATCCCCCCCCGGATCCCTCCGCTCCCGGCTCCGCTCCGGGACCCGCTCCCGGTGCCTCCCCCCCCAAAAACCTCCGGGCCCCCCCCCGCCCCCCAACGATGAAGCCCCCCCCTCTGGGGACGCTGCTGCGGGCCCTGGGCCGCCGCGACGGCAGCGACACGGTACGGGGGGGGGGGGGGGGAACGGGACGGGAACGGGACAAGGGGAAGGGGGGGGGGATTGAGGCGGGACCCCCCCTCTGAACCCCCCCTCTGAACCCCGTTTTCCCACGCGGAACCCCCCTTTCCCACGTTATCCCCCCTCTTCCCACGTTGTTCCCCCTCTTCCCCATTCCCCCCCCCCTTCCCAACTTCCCGTAGTAACTCCCACTTTTCCCACGGGTACCCCCCTTTTCCCTCTCTATCCCCCCCCCTTTTCCCACGTTGTTCCCCACTTTTCCCACACTGACCACCCCCATTTCCACCCCGCATCCCCATTTCCCACAATAACCCCCCTTTTCCCACGCTGAACCCCCTTTTCCCACCTTGTTCCCCACTTTTTCCATACTGACCCCCCATTTCCCACACTAAACACCCCATTTTCCTACCTTGTTCCCCACTTTTCCCAAGTTATCCCCCCTTTACCCCCAAATCCTCCTATTCCCAAACTGAAGCCCCTTTTCCCACGCTGTTCTCCCCATTTTCTACACTGAACCCCCATTTTCCTCTCTGACCCCCCCTTTTCCCAACTTATTTCCCCTTTTCCCACCTTGTTCCCCCTTTTCCCACCTTATTCCCCCTTTTCCCCCCCCAAACCCCCTTATTCCCACGTTATTCCCCCCATTCCCACCCTCTTCTCCCTTTCCCAACGCTGTCCCCCCCTTGTCCCACGTTGTTCCCCCCTTTTCCCACGCTGATCCCCCCATTCCCACGCTCTTTCCTCCCCCTCCCCCCCGCATGGGTCCATCCCGGGGGGGGGTCGGGCCATTCCCCCCCCCCCCCCCAAGGGGCCCCATTTCCTGGGCTGGTCCCGGCCCCACTTCCTGCGGTGGGAACACGGAGTGGGGGGGCACGGACACGGAGGGGGGGGCATGGAGGGGGACACGGGACACACGGACACGGGGGGGACACGGACGTGGGGGAGTCAATGGGGGGATTCAATGGGGGGGTCAATGGGGTCTCAATGGGGGGGTCAATGAGGTCTCAATGGGGGGGTCACAGGGTGTCAATGGGGGTCAAGTGGGGGCTCAAGAGGGGGTCACGGGGGCTCATGGGGGCTCAATGGATGTTCACTGGGGTCAAGGGGGGTCAACGGGGGTGTCACGGGGGGTCAATGGGGGGTCACGGGGGGGCAATGGGGGTGTCACGGGGGGCAATGACGCTCAATCGGGGGGTCACGGGGGTCACAGGGGGGGTCAATGGGGGGTCAAGGGGGCTCAATAGGGTGGTAAAAGGAGGTCAATGGGAGGGTCACAGGGGGGATAATGGGGGTCACGGGGGGCTCAAGGGGGAGGTCAATGGGAGTCAATGGGGGTTCAATGGGGGGTCACGGGGGGGTCAATGCGGGGGGTCAATGGGGGGTCACAGGGGGGTCACGGGGGGTTAATGGGGGGTCACGGGGGGGTCACAGCCGTGTCCCCTCCCCCCCGCAGCCCCCCGCCCCCCCCCACAGCTTCCGAGAGAAGGCTCCGCGGCGGGGGGGGCCCTGCGCGGTCTGCGCGGAGCCGCTGGGGCCGCCGGGGCTGAGCTGCAGAGGTGGGGGCCTGGGAACCCCCCCGGGTCATCGGTGCTATGGGTGCTATGGGTGCTATAGGGTGTTATGGAGTGCTGTGGGGTACTATGGGTGCTGTAGGGTGCTATAGGATGCTATGGGGTGCTATAGGATGCTATGCAGTGCTATAGGGTGCTATGGGATGCTATGGGATGCTATAGGGTGCTATGGGGTGCTATAGGGTGCTATGGGGTGCTATGGGTGCTATGGGTGCTATAGGGTGTTATGGGGTGCTATAGGGTGCTATGGGGTGCTATAGGGTGCTATGGGGTGCCATGGGGTGCTATGGGGTGCTATAGGGTGCTATAGGGTGCTATGGGGTGCATTGGGTGCTATAGGATGCTATGGGGTGCTATAGGGTGCTGTAGACTGTGCTATGGGAGGCTACGAGGATGCTATGGGGTTCCATAGGGTGCTATGGGGTGCATTGCGGTGTGCTATAGGATGCTATGGGGTGCTATAGGGTGCTGTAGACTGTGCTATGGGATGCTACGAGGATGCCATGGGGACGCTATGGAATTCTATGGGGCGCTATGGGGCTGGGGGGGGTCCCTGATGCCCCTTTCCTGTGCCCGCAGTCTGCAAGCTGAGCTGCCACAAGCGATGCGAGGGGAAGGTACGGGGGGGGTACCCCCACACTGCCCCCTCCCCCCACTGCCCCCCCCATGCTCTGGGGGCGGGGGTTCCCCTCGCGCACCCCCCTTGTGCCCCCCTCGGGATGGACACGGGGGGGGGCCGGGGGTGTTCCCCCACATTCCCATCCCTCCCCCCATTGCCCTCTATGGGGCGCGGGGGGGGGCGGGGGGTGCCCCTGAAGGGCCCCTTTGTGTGCGTGGGAACCTCCCCCGTCGGGTCCGGCCAAAGACAACACCGGGGGGGGGCACAAGGGGGGGTCCGGACACGCGATGGGGATGGGAGCTGCGGTGGGGCCTGGGGCCTGCAGCGGCTGTGGGACTGGGGGCACGCTATGGGGTTGGGGACCTGCTATGGGGCTGGGGGGTTGCTATGGGGCTGGTACGTGCTATGGGGCTGGGGCACGCTATGGGGCTGGGGGATTGCTGTGGGGCTGGTACGTGCTATGGGGCTGGGGCACGCTATGGGGCTGGGAACCTGATATGGGGTTGGGACATGCTATGGGGCTGGTGGCCCGCTATGGGGCTGGGATCCTGTATGGCGCTGTGCTCACACTGTGGGACTGGTATCCCTGTATGGGGCTGGAGTCCTGGTATGTGGACCCAGGATCTGCTATAGGGCTGGAGCCATTCTATGGGGCTGGAGCCATTCTATGAGGCAGGGTCTCGCTATGGGGCAGGGTCCCGCTACGAGGCTGGGCTCCTGCTGTGGGTCCCATAGGGGTGACCCCGCCCCCCCCACAGGTGACGTCACCGTGTCAGGCCCCGCCCCCTCCTGAGCAGGTGAGAGCCGGGACCCCCGCGGGGGGAGGGGGAACGGGGGCGGGAACCGCCCCTTCCCCCGTGACCTCCCCGTGACCCCGCCCTGACCCCTCCCCCAGCGCAGAAGCACCGCCCCCACCCGCCGCAGCGAGCACGTGGTGAGGCCCCACCCCCATGTGACCCCTCCGTGACCCCTCTGTGACCCCCCTGTGACCTCTGTGACCCCCTCGTGACCCCCCCCAGGGCTCCACCAAGTCCCTGAGCACCACCCCACAGAGAAACACCCTGCCCAGGTATGGGGCTATGGGGGATATGGGGGCTATGGGGGGCCTATGGGGCAACTGGGGGCTTGGGGGGCTAGGGGGACAATAGGGGCTATAGGGGGCGGTATCCCTCTATCCCATATCCCTGTATCCTTCTGTCCCTCTATCTTTCTATCCATCTATCCCTATATCCTTATATCCCATATCGCTCTATCCCATATCCCTATATCCCATATCCCTATATCCCTGTATCCCTGTATCCCTATATCCCTCTATCCCTGTATCCCTATATCCCATACCCCTATGTCCCATACCCCTGTAACCCTGTATCCGATATCCCTGTATCCCTCTATCCCTCTATATCCCATATCCCTCTATCCCTCTATCCCTATATCTCTCCGTATCCCTACTTCCCTTAATCCCTACATCCAACATCCCTATATCTCTCTATATCCCTCTATATCCCTATACAATATCCCTATCCAACATCCCTATACAACATCCCTATCCAACATCCCTATACAACATCCCTATACAATATCCCTATACAACATCCCTATACATCCCTATACAACATCCCTATAAAATATCCCTATATAACATCCCTGTACATCCCTATACAACATCCCTATACATCCCTATCCAATATCCCTATACAACATCCCTGTACATCCCTATCCAATATCCCTATATAACATCCCTGTACATCCCTATACAACATCCCTATGCATCCCTATCCAATATCCCTATACAACATCCCTGTTATCCAACATCCCTATTATCAAACATCCCTATCCAACATCCCTATTATCCGACATCCCTATTATCCAACATCATCACCCCATCCAACATCCCTATCCATCCCTATCCATCCTCATCCACCCCTATCCAACATCCCTATTATTCAACATCCCCACCCATCCCCATACATCCCTACCCAACATCCCCACCCATCCCCATCCATCCCTATCCAACATCCCTATTATCCAACACCCCTATTATCCAACATCCCTATCCAACATCCCTATTATCCAACATCCCTATTATCCAACATCCCTATCCAACATCCCTATTATCCAACACCCCTATTATCCAACATCCCTACCCAACATCCCTATTATCCAACACCCCTATTATCCAACATCCCTACCCAACCCCACCCACCCCCATCCATCCCCACCCATCCCCATCCACCCCTATCCAACATCCCTATTATCCAACATCCCTATTATCCAACATCCCTGCTATCCAACATCCCTATTATCCAACATCCCTATCCAACATCCCTACTATCCAACATCCCTATCCAACACCCCTATTATCCAACATCCCTACTATCCAATCCCTATTCAACATCCCCACCCCTCGCTACCCCGCTCAGGTCTCAGTCCCTGGAGCGCCCCCTGCTGTTGGGCCCGGACCTTGACGTCCGCTACGTGAGCGCGCAGCTGCTGAGCCTGCGCTTCCCGCGCGCGCTGCCCGAGCCCCGCCTGCGCCTGCTCCTGCGTCACGTGGCCCAGATGCTGCGCTCCCGGCACCGCGAGCACTACATGGTGCGGGCGATAGGGGGCGATAGCGGGCTCTATGGGACTACATGGGACTGTATGGGGCTCTATGGGACTATATGGGTTTATACGGGATTGTATGGGGCTCTATGGGACTGTATGGGGCTGTATGCGGCTCTATGGGACTCTATAGGATTGTATGGGGCTCTATGGGGCTGTATGGAGCTCTATGGGACTGTATGGGACTCCGTGGGATTGTATGGGACTCTATGGGACTATATGGGACTCTATAGGTTTATACAGGATTGTATGGGACTATATGGGTTTATATGGGATTGTATGGGATTGTATGGGACTCTGTGGGTTTATATGGGATTGTATGAGACTATATGGGATGTGGGGGTTGTGGGATATGGGTTATGGGAACATGGTTAGGGTTAGGGTTAGGGTTAAGGGCTAGGGTTAAGGGTTAGGATTAGGGTTAGGGTGAGGAGTTAGGGTTAGGGTTAGGGTTAAGGGTTAGGGAACGTGGTGGGACCATATGGGATTTTGTGGGAAGAAAGAGGGACCATATGGGACTATATGGGACAATATCGGATTATATGGGATGTAGGATATGGGGTATAGGATGTGGGATATTTGGTTTGGGGTATGGGATATGGGGTAGGGGGTATGGGATATGGGGTATGGCACGTGGGGACATGGACATTGGACATGGGACATGGACAGGGGGAATGGGGACGTGGGGACTGGAACTGGACATTGGGGTCCATAGGGACAGGATGTTAAGGTCATGGAGACACAGACAGGGATAGGGACAGGACACTGGGGTCCATGGGGACAGGGACAGGGATGGGGCATTGGGGTCCACAGGGGCAGGATGGGATTAGGATGGGGATGGGATGGGGTTAGGACAGGGATGGGATGGGGATGGGATGGGGATGGGATGGGGATGAGATGGGGATGGTGTGGTCCATGGGGACAAGACAGGGATGGGGCATCGGGGTCCATGGGGTCAGGATGGGGATAAAGTCCCTGACCCCCTCCCCCCCATCCTGACCCCCCCCAGATCTTCAACCTCTCCGAGAAGCGCCGGGACCTGGCGCTCCTGAACCCCAGAGTGAGCAGGGGATGGGGGCACGGGGGGGGTCCCTTTGGGGGCCCATTGGGGAGCTTATTGGGAATCCCATTGGGGGTCCCATTGGGGATCCCGTTGGGGGGACCCATTGGGAATCCCATTGGGGGTCCCATTGGGGATCTCATTGGGGGTCCCATTTGGGGTGGCCCATTGGGGTCCCACTGGGTGCTGGGGGGGTCTCTGGGTGCCACTGACACCCCCCCCCCCCAGGTGCAGGACTTTGGGTGGCCAGACCCGCTCGCCCCCCCCCTGGACAAGCTCTGCTGCATCTGCAAAGCACTGGAGGGGTGGCTGAGGGGGCAGCCCCAGCGCCTGGCAGTGCTGCACTGCAAGGTGGGTATAGGGGGTATGGGGGTATAGGGGGTATGAGGGGTATAGGGGGTATGGAGGGTATAGGGGGTATAGGGGTATGGGGGGTATGGGGGGTATAGGGGTATGGGGGTATGGGGTATAGGGATATAGGGGTATGGGGGGTATAGGGGTATAGGGGGTATGGGGGGTATAAGGTGTATGGGGGGGTATAAGGGGTATGTGGGTATGGGGCGTATGGGGGGTATAGGGGTATGGGGGGTATAGGGGGTATGGAGGGTATAGGGGGTATAGGGGTATGGGGGGTATAAGGGGTATAGGGGTATGGGGCGTATGGGGGTATAGGGGTATGGGGGGTATAGGGGTATAGGGGGTATGGTGTGTATAGGGGGTATAGGGGTATGGGGGGTATAGGGGGTATAGGGGGCTATAGGGGCTATAAGGGGTATAGGGGGTATAGGGGGTATAGGGGGTATGGGGGTATGGGGGGTATGGGGGTATGGGGGTATGGGGGGTATGGGGGGTATGGGGGGTATGGGGGTATGGGGGGTATGGGGGGTATGGGGGTATGGGGGGTATGGGGGGTATGGGGGTATGGGGGGTATGGGGGGTATAGGGGAGATGTGAGGGGTTGGGGGGGTCATGGGGGACGATGGGACAAGAGGGGGGCTATAGGGAGGTGGGGGGCACTGGGAGGTACTGGGGTCCTGACCCCCCCCTGTTCCCCTGCCCAGGGCAGTAAGGGCAAGGCGGCCGTCGTCGTGGCAGCCTACATGCACTACAGCCAAGTGACTGCCAGGTACGGACATGGGTATGGGCATGGGCATGGGGTATGGATATGGGGTATGGTGTATGGGGTATGGGATATGGGATATGGATATGGGGTATGGGGTATGGGGTATGGGGTATGGGGTATGGGGTATGGGGTATGGGGTATGGGGTATGGGATATGGGGTATGGGGTATGGGGTATGGATATGGGATATGGGGTATGGGGTATGGATATGGGGTATGGGATATGGATATGGGGTATGGGTATGGGATATGGGGTATGGGATATGGATATGGATATGGGGTATGGGATATGGATATGGGATATGGGGTATGGGATATGGATATGGGGTATGGGATATGGGGTATGGGATATGGGGTATGGATATGGGATATGGGGTGTGGGGTGTGGGGTATGGGGTTATGGAGGTTATGGGAGGGCTATGGGGGTTCTGTGGGTTATGAGGGTTACAGGGGTCAGGGAGTTATGGGGTGCTATGGGGGTTTGGGGTCAGGGGTGTGGGGGCTCTATGGGTGGGGGCACGGGGGGGTGGGGGGCACCCTGACCTCCCCCTTCCCCCCCCCAGTGCTGATCAGGCGCTGAGCACCCTGAGCATGAGGAAGTTCTGCGAGGAGAAGGTGGGGATGGAGCCGTCACAGCGCAGGTGGGACATGGACATGGACAGGGATAGGGATAGGGATAGGGAGAGGGATGTGGGATGTGGGGTATGGGGTATGGGATATGGGATATGGGATATGGGGTATGGGGTATGGGATATGGGGTATGGGGTATGGGATATGGGGTATGGGATATGGAGTATGGGATGTGGGATATGGGGTATGGGATGTGGGATATGGGGATGTGGGATGTTGGACATGGGATCATGGGATATGGACATGGACATGGGAATATGGGGACATGGACATGGAGATATGGGTTCATGGGATATGGACATGGGAGTATGGGATATGGATATGGACATGGACATGGGATATGGGAACATGGGACATGGACATGGGAATATGGGGACATGGACATGGAGATATGGACATATAAATGGCATATGGGATCATGGGATATGGGATTATGGGATATGAGATCATGGGACATGGACATGGGATATGGGATCGTGGGATATGGACATGGACATGGGATCATGCAGATGTGGGGGACATGGGACACTGGGGGACATTGGGACATGGAGAGCTGGGGGATGCTGGGTTCCTGGGATACGGGGTGCTGGGATAGAGGATGCTGATGCTGCTGAGTGCTGGGGAAGTTGGGGTACAGGTTGATGGGTGCTGTGGGTGCTCTCTATGGGGACAGTGGGTTCCATGGGTGCTCTCTATGGGTACAGTGGGTTCTATGGGTTCTCTCTATGGGTGCTCTCTATGGGCTCCAAAGGTGCTCTCTATGGGTGCTGTCTATGGGTGCTCTCTATGGGTTCTATGGGTTCTCTCTATGGGTGCTCTCTATGGGCTCTATGGGTGCTCTCTATGGGTTCTATGGGTGCTCCCTATGGGCTCCAAAGGTGCTCTCTATGGGTTCTCTCTATGGGTGCTCTCTATGGGCTCTCTCTATGGGTCTCTCTATGGGTGCTCTCTATGGGTGCTCTCTATGGGTGCTCTCTATGGGTGCTCTCTATGGGTGCTCTCTATGGGTGCTCTCTATGGGTGCTCTCTATGGGTGCTCTCTATGGGTGCTCTCTATGGGTGCTCTCTATGGGTGCTCTCTATGGGTGCTCTCTATGGGTGCTCTCTATGGGTGCTCTCTATGGGTGCTGTTCCATGGGTGCTGTTCCATGGGTGCTGTTCCCTGTGTCACGGGTGCTGTCTCCGGGCAGGGCCGTGGAGCTCTTTGGGGCGCTGCTCTCGGGGCAGCAGCGGCTCAGCAGCAGCCCCGTGTTCCTGCAGCACGTCCTGCTGCCCGCCCTGCCCGGCTACGGCGCACACGGTCAGTGGGGAGCGGGACCCACAGCCGGGACCATAACTGGGACCCATAACTGGGACCCATAACTGGGACCCATAACTGGGACCCACAACTGGGACCCATAACTGGGACCCATAACTGGGACCCACAACTGGGACCCACAACCGGGACCCACATTGAGCCCCCCCTCATTCACTCCCCCCCGCAGGCTGTCGGCCCTTCCTGAAGATCTACCAGGCACTGCAGCTCGTCTACACCTCGGGGGTCTAGTGAGTGAGGGTGAATGGGAGTGAGTGAGAGTGAATGGGAGTGAGTGAGGGTGAATGGGAGACAATGGGAGTGAATGGGAGTGAGAATGAGAGTGAATGGGAGTGAGTGTGAGAGTGAATGGGAGTGAGTGAGAGTGAATGGGAATGAGAGTGAATGGGAGTGAATGGAAGTGAGAGTGGGTGTGAATGAGTGTGAATGGGAGTGAGTGTGAATAGGAGTGAATGGAAGTGAGAGTGAATGGAAGTGAATGGGAGTGTGTGAATGAGAGTGAGTGTGAGTGAGTGAGAGTGAATGGGAGTGTGAGTGAGTGAGTATGGGAGTTAATGTGAGTGAGTGTGAATGGGAGTGAGTGAGGGTGAATGGAGTGAGTGAATGGGAGTGAGTGTGAGTGAATAGGAGTGAGTGAGAGTGAATGGGAGTGAGTGTGAGAGTGAATGGGAGTGTGAATGGGAGTGTGAGTGAGTGAGTATAGGAGTTAATGTGAGTGTGAATGAGAGTGTGTGTGAATGAGTGACAGTGAACAGGAGTGTGAATGAGAGTGCATGAGTGTGAGTGAATGAGTTGAATGAGGGTGAATGAATGAGTGAGGGTGAATGGGTCACAGTGAATGAGCTCAGTGGGAGTGTGAATGAGTGCGAATGAGCTCAATGTGTCAATGAGTGTGAGTGTGAATGAGTGTGTGAGAGTGAATGAGTGAATGAACGGGAGTGAATGAGTGTGAACGAGTATGAGTGTGAAAGTGAATGAGTGTGAATGAGTGTGTGAGAGTGAATGAGGGTGAATGAGTGGCTGTAGGTGAGTGTGACCGATCCCACTATCTCCCTGTCACTGTGTCTGTGCCTGTGTCCCCCCCCTGTCCCTCACTGTGCCCTGGTGCTTTCTGGGCTCCCCCCCACAGCTCCCCAGGCCCCCACAGTCTCTGCATCAGCCTGGAGCCGGCGCTGCTGCTCAAGGGCGATGTCCTGGTGGGTGAATGGGGGCACAATGGGGGGCAATGGGGTGCAATGGGGGGGCAATGAGGGGTGCAATAGAGGGGCAGTGGGGCACATGTGAGGGGGGCACACACAGGGCTGCCGGTGTGGGGGATGCCAGAGGTGTGTGTGCAATGCGTGCTGCTGTGGGTGCTGTGAGGTGCTGAGGGGTGCTGCAGGGTGCTATGGGGTGCTACAGGGTACTATAGATTGCTATGAGGTGCTGTGGGGGGCTATGGGTGCTATGGATGCTATGGGGGTCTATGGGTGCTGTGGATGCTATGGGGGTCTATGGGTGCTACAGATGCTATGGGGGTCTATGGGTGCTACAGATGCTATGGGGGTCTGTGGGTGCTACGGATGCTATGGGGGTCTATGGGTGCTACGGATGCTATGGGGGTCTATGGAGGTCTATGGATGCTATGGGGGTCTATGGGTGCTATGGATGCTATGGGGGTCTATGGGTGCTATGGGTGCTACGGGTGCTATGGAGGTCTATGGATGCTATGGGGGTCTATGGGTGCTATGGATGCTATGGAGGTCTATGGGTGCTATGGGTGCTATGGGGTGCTGTGGGTGCTATGGGGATGCCTGCGGTGCCGTTGCACACTCAGCCTTGCACACGCGTGTGCGCAGGTCACGTGTTACCACCGGCAGCTGGGGGGGCGCGAGCCCGTGTTCCGGGCCCAATTCCATACGGGAACGCTGCGGGGGGGGCGGCTGCGGCTGCCCCGGGGAGAGCTGGACCTGGCCTGGGAAGGTGGGAATGGGATAGGGGTGGGGATGGGATGGGGATGGGGATGGGGATGGGATGGGGATGGGATGGGGATAGGGATGGGGATGGGATGGGGATGGGATGGGGATGGGATGGGGATGGGATTGGATGGAAATAGGGTGAAATGCGAATGGAGTGGGATGATAATGAATGGATGGGACAGGGATGGGATTGGATAGGGATGGGGATGGAGATGGGAATAGGGTGAAATGGGAATGGAATGGGATGGAAATGGATAGGGATAGGATTGGATGGGAATAGGGTGAAATGCAAATGGAGTGGGATGATATTGAATGGGGATGGGATGGGGATGGGATTGGATGGGAATGGGGATGGAGATAGGGATGGGTTAGGGATGGGATTGGATGGGAATAGGGTGAAAAGGGAATTAAAAGGGATGGGATTGAATGGGGATGGGAACGGCATGGGGATGGGATTGGATGGGAATAGGGTGAAATGGGAATCGAATGGGATGGAAATGGAATGGGGATGGGATTGGATGGGAATAGCGTGAAATGGGAATGGAATGGGATGGAAGGGGTATGGGGATGGGGTTGGATGAGAATGCGATGGAATGGGGAAAGGGATGTGAATGTGAGGATAGGAATGAGATGGGATGGGAATGGGGAAGGGGATGAGATGGGGATGGGGAAGGGGATGGGATGAGGATCAGATGGTGATGGGGATGGGGATGGGATGGAGATGGGATTGGATGGGGATGGGGATGGGATGGGGATGGGATTGGATGGGAATGGGGAAGGGGATGGGATGAGGATGAGATGGGGATGGGGAGGGGATGGGGATGGGGATGGGGATGGGGATGGAATGGGGATGGGGATGGGACAGGGACAGGTGTTTGGTACAGGGGGCCCAGGGCTTGCCCCGGGCTGGGGCTGGGTCCGTTCGGGGGGGGGCAGCTCCAATCTCTCCCCCCCAGACGAGCGCTTCCCCCCCGAGGGCAGCGTCGAGTTCGTTTTCTCCTCGGGCCCTGAGAAGATCCAAGGTGAGGGGGGGGGAGGGGGGAGCCCCGGGGTCCCCCCGAGGCCCCGCAGGCACCCACAGCCCCCCCCCTCTGCCCCACCCTCACCCCCAGGCTGGGACCCCCCCGGCGCCCCCCCCGCCCCCGTGGATTACGGGGTCCTGGACCCCGCCGTGCGCAGAGACTCGTACGAGGGCTTCGACCTGAGGCACCAGGACAGCCTGGAGGGTAGGGGCAGGGCGGGTGGTCCCATGGGATACCCTATGGGATACCCCTATGGGATACCCTGTGGGACATCCCTATAGGATACCCCTATGGGATACCCTGTGGGACAACCCTATATGATACCCCTATGGGATACCCTGTGGGACATCCCTACAGGATACCCCTATGGGATACCCCTATGGGAAACCCTATGGGAAACCCTGTGGGATAACCTATGGGACATCCCTATAGGATACCCCTATAGGATACCCCTATGGGATAGCTTATGGGATACCTTATGGGAAACCCTGTGGGAAACCCTATGGGATACCCCTATGGGAAACCCTGTGGGAAACCCTGTGGGATAATCTATGGGAAAACCTTGTGGGATACCTTATGGGATACCTTATAGGAACCCCTATGGGTTACCTTATGGGAAAACCTGTGGGATAACCTATGGGATACCCTATGGGAAACTCTATGGGATAACCCTGTGGGAAACACCTTGGGACACCCCATGGGACACCCCTATGGGACACCCCTATTGGATACCCCTATGGACACCCCTATTGGATACCCCTATGGGATACCCAATGGGATACCCCTATGGCATACCCAATGGGATACCCCAATGGGATACCCAATGGGATACCCCTATGGGACACCCTATGGGACACCACTATTGGATACCCTATGGGATACCCCTGAGATACCCCCATGGGACACCCAATGGGATACCCTATGGGATACTCCAATGGGATACCCCTATGGGACACCCAATGAGACACCTCTATGGGACACCCGTATGGGATACCCTATGGGCTATCTCCCAGGACACCCCCTCCATGGGACACCCCATAGGATACCCCCTGGGACATCCCTATGGGACACCCCTATGGGACACCCCTATGGGACACCCCAATGGGACACACCTATAGGACACCCCCATGGACCACCCCTATGGGACCCCCTAGTGGGACACCCAATGGGACACCCCTATGGACCACCCCTATGGGACACCCAATGGGACACCCCTATGGACCACCCCTATGGGAGCCCCCCAATGGGACACCCCAGTGGGACCCCCCCTCCGCACCCACCCTGCAATTCCCCCATGGGACCCCCACCCTTGGGACCCCCCCCAATGGGTTCCCCCCCCCAGGAACCCCTCATGAGGCCCCCACCCTTGAGACCCCCCCATAGGCACCGGGGGGATGCATGAGGGGGGGTTGGGTTGTGGGGTTCAGCCCCCCCTCACTGTGCCCCCCCCCCCCCAGAGCTCCCATTGGACTCCAGCCCCTACCCGGGGGGGCAGAGGCCGCAGCGCTCCTGGAGCCCCGGGGGGGGCCCCCCCAGCCCGGACCCCCCCATCCCGGAGCCCCCCCCCGGCCGCCCGCCCCCCCCCACAGCGGCCGAGCGCCAGGAGCTGGAGCGGCTCCTGGGGGGCTTTGGGGTGCGGGGGGGGCCCCAGGAAGAGCGGGAGACCCCGATCCTAGGGGATGAGCCCGGGGGGACCCCCCCATCCCATGGGATGGTAGCGTCCTATGGGAGCCCCATGTCCTATGGGAGCACAGCATCCCTCGGGACCCCCCCATCCCATGGGACCACAGCATCCTATGGGACCACAGCATCCCCCGGGAGCCCTGCATCCCTTGGGAGCCCCACATCCTATGGGAGCCCTGCAACCCATGGGACCCCAATATCCCATGGGACCACAGCATCCTATGGGAGCCCTGCATCCCTTGGGAGCCCCATATCCTATGGGAGCCCTGCATCCCTCGGGAGCCCCACATCCTATGGGAGCCCTGCATCCCATGGGACCCCAATATCCCATGGGACCACAGCACCCTATGGGAGCCCTGCATCCCATGGGACTACAGCATCCTATGGAATCACAGCATCCTACGGGACCACAGCATCCCTCGGGAGCCCCACATCCTATGGGACCCCAATACCCCAGAGAACCCCAACACCCCATGGGAGCCCCACATCCCATGGGAGCCCAGCATCCCATGGAACCACAGCACCCTACGGGACCCCAACATCCCATGGGACCCCCACATCCTATGGCACCCCAGCAGCCTACAGTACCCCAACCCCACAGGGGACCCCGACATCCTATGGGACCCCCACATCCCCTGGGAGCCTGACACCTTATGGGACCCTGACATCCCTTGGGACCACAGCACCCTATGGGACCCCCACATCCTATGGGTCCCCAATGCCCCAGGGAACCCCGACACTGTATGGGACCACAGCACCCTATGGGACCCTGACACCCCACGGGACCCCAACATCCCATGGGAGCCCAGCATCCCCTGGGACCACAGCATCCTATGGGACCACAGCATCCTATGGGACCATAGCATCCCCTGGGACCACAGCATCCTATGGGACCACAGCATCCCCCGGGACCGTAGCATCCTATGGGACCATAGGACCCTATGGGACCACAGCATCCTATGGGACCCCCGGCCCCCCCCTGTGCCGCCGGGCCAGCCTGGCCCCCCCCTGCTCGTGTCGCCGTCCCCCCAGCCCCGAGGCACCCCGCGATGGGGGGGGGCTCCCCTCGGGGGTGGGGGGCAGGCGGGGGGTGCAGCGCTCGCTCTCCGAGGGCCCCCCCCCTCTCTATGGGCTGGGGGGGGGCACGGCCTGGGGGGGCCCCCCCCGCCCCCAGCCCCCCCCCTCCGAGGAGCCCCCCCCTTGTCCCCACTGCGGCCGCCCCGGCTTGGGGCTGAGCTGGAGCCCCACCCCTCGGGCCCCCCCTGGCAAAGGGGGGTGCGAACCCCCCGGGCTGGAGACCCCCCAGCAGGAACCCAATGGTGAGTGGGGGGGGGGGAGGAAGGGGGGGAATGGGGGTAATGGGGGTAATGAGGGGTAATGGGGATAATGGGGTTATGGGAGGCTAATGGGGGGGTAATGGGGTTATGGGGGTTATGGGGGGGTTATGGGGGTATGGGGGCTATGGGGCTATGGGGGTGGGGTTATGGGGGCTCTGGGGACGGGGTTATGGGGGCTATGGGGTTATGGGGGGGCTAATGGGGTAATGGGGTTATGAGGGTAATGGGGTTATGAGGGGCTAATGGGGGGTAATAGGGTTATGGGGTAATGGGGTTATGGGGGGCTAATGTGGGTTAATGGGGTTATGGTGGTAATGGGGTTATGGAGGTAATGGGGTTATGTCGGGCTAAAGGGCTAATGGGGGTAATGGGGCTAATGGGGGGTAATGGAGCTAATGGTGTTATGGAGGGGCTAAAGGGGGGTAATGGGGTTATGGGGCGGCTAAAGGGGCTAAAAGGGGTTAATGGGGCTAATGGGGTTACGGGGGGGCTAAAGGCACTAATGGGGGCTTTATGGGGGGGTAATAGGGGGATAGTGGGGGCCATGGGGGCTATTGGAGCCTGTTGGGGGCTGGGGGGTGTTTGGGGGGGCTAAAGGGGTTAATGGGAGGGTTATGGGGGCCTAATGGGGGGGCTACTGGCACTAATGGGGGGGTTATGGGAGCTAAGGGGGGGTTATGAGGGGGTTACTGAGGTCCATTGGGATCCATTGGGGTCTATAAGGGATCCATTGTGGTCTATTGAGGTCTATTGGCATCCACTGGGGTCTATAAGGGTCCATTGGGGTCTACTGGGGTCTATAGGGGTCCATAGGAGTCTATTGGGGTCTATAGGGGTCCATTGGGGTCTATTGGGATCTATAGGGGTCTACTGGGATCTATACGGACCCACTGAGGTCTATGGGATCCATTGGGGTCCCCAGACGGTGCTGACCCCCCCTCCCCTCTCTCCCCCCCCCAGCTCGCAGGAGCCCGGGGGCGGGGCTCCCCTGGCGCCCCCACCCCGAGAGCCCGGAGCCCCCCCCCGGGCCCTCCCCCCCCGCCTTCCCCCCCCCCGCCCTCTACCACACCCCCTCCCCCACCCCCTCCCCGGCCCCTCCCCCCCCCGCGCCGGGGGGGCCCCGCTCCTCGCCCCTCCCCCAGCACGAGGAGGGGGCTGGGGGGAGGGGGGACCCCCCCGGGGCCGGAGCCCCCCCCGCGGGCGGCTCCTTCGTGCAGGACACGAGCAAATTCTGGTTCAAACCCGGGCTGAGCCGGGAGAGAGGTGAGGGGGGCACGGGGTCAATGGGGGGTCAATGGGGGGGATGGGGGTCTATGGGGGTCTACGGGGGGGAATGGGGGTCTATGGGGGGCTATGGGGGGGCACGGGTGTCAATGGGGGGTAAATGGGGGGGATGGGGGCCTATGGGGGTCTACGGGGGGGGTATGGGGTCTACGGGGGGCCATGGGGGGGCACGGAGGTCAGTGGGGGGTAAATGGAGGGGGCATGGGGGGGGTATGGGGGGGGTATGGGGGTCTACCGGGGGGCTATGGGGGCCTATGGGGGAGGCATCTATTGCTAGGGGCCATGTGTTGCTATGGGGTCCATGTGTTGCTATGGGGTGCCATGGTCTGACTCTGGGTCCATGTGTCGCCGTGGGCTTCCATGTGTTGCTATTCGGGGGGTCCATGTGTTGCTATGGGGGTCCAGTCAGGTGTCCACGGCTGCTACGACGGGGGTCCATGTGTTGCTATGGGGGGTCCATGTGTTGCTATGGAGGTCCATGTGTTGCTACGGAGGGTCCATGTGATGCCACCGGGGGTCCATGTGTTGCTATGGGGGGGGGGGTCCATGTGATGCTATGGGGGGGGGTCCATGTGTTGCTATGGGGGGGTCCATGTGTTGCTATGGAGGGTCCATGTGTTGCTATGGGGGGGGTCCATGTGTTGCTATGGGGGGGGTCCATGTGTTGCTATGGGGGGTCCATGTGATGCTATGGGGGGGGGTCCATGTGTTGCTATGGGGGGGTCCATGTGTTGCTATGGGGGGTCCATGTGATGCTATGGGGGGGTCCATGTGTTGCTATGGGGGGGTCCATGTGTTGCTGGGGGGGTCCATGTGTTGCTATGGGGATGCTCACCGTGCCCCCCCCCAGCCGTGGCCCTGCTCCAGCACGAGGCTCCCGGCTCCTTCCTCATCCGCCAGAGCAGCAGCTTCCGGGGCGCCTTCGGGCTCGCGCTGAGGGTGGGGGAGCCCCCACCCCGCTGCCCCCCCGGCAGGGGTAGGAACCCCCCTTAGAGTCCCATAGAGACCCCATAGAGACCTCATAGAGACCTCATAGACACCCCCACCCCATAGACACCCCCACCAAGGGCAGCGACCCCCATACCCCATAGACCCCCTCCCTGCACCCCCCATATCCCTTCCCCCCTCTCCACCCCCATCATTGACCCTCCCCCCCCAAGGGCAGGTTTCAGGGGGGCAGCATCTCCCCTGTACCCGGTGGGGGAGGGGAGGCGGGGAGGGGGCACCCATGGGTGCTGACCCCGCCCTCCCCCCCCCCCCAGGGGACCCCCAGGCGCAGCTGGTTCGGCACTTCCTGATCGAGACCGGGCCGCGGGGGGTCAAGATCAAGGGGGGGCCCCAGGAGCCCCACTTCGGTCAGGGGGGGGTTCTAAAGGGGGGTTTTGGGGTCTTAAAGGGGGGGGGTTGGGTCCTAAAGGAGGAGTTTGGGGTCCAAAAGGGGGAGTTCGGGGTCCCAAAGGAGGGTTAGGGGGTCCTAAAGGGTGTTTTGGGGTCATAAAGTGGGGGGGTTGGGCCCTAAAGAGGGTTTTGGGATCATAAAGGGGGTTTTTGGCATCATAAAGGGAGATTTGGGGTCCTAAAGGGAGATTTGGGGTCCTAAAGGGGGGCTTTGGGGGTCATAAAGGGGGGTTTGGGGGTCCTAAAGGGGGTTTTGGGGTCCTAAAGGGGGTTTTGGGGTCATAAACGGGGGGGGTTGGCGTCATAAAGGGAGATTTGGGGTCCAAAGGGGGTTTTGGGGTCATAAAGGGGGGTTTTGGGTCCTAGGGTGGCGTTTGGGTCCTAAAGGGGGTTTTGGGGCCCTAAAGGGGGGGGGGGGTTCTAAAGGGGGGGGTTGGGCTCTAGAGGGGGGATTTTGGAGTCCTAAAGGGGGGGTTTTGGGGTTCCAAAGAGGGGGTTCAATGGTGCCCCGCCCCCCCAGGCAGCCTGCCCGCGCTGGTCCTGCATCACTCCATCAGCCCCATCTCCCTGCCCTGCCCCCTGCGCATCCCCACCAAAGGTACCGCCCCCCCCATGGGTGCTCCCCCCCTCCCCCAATGGGTGCCCCCCCCATGGGTGCCCCCCCCATAATCAGGTGTTCGCCCCCCCCCAGACCCCCTGGAGGACGCCCCCGAGGGGCCGGTGCCCCCCAACATGAGCACGGCCGCGGAGCTGCTGCACCAGGGGGCAGGTGGGGGGCAAGGGGGGGGGAAGAGATGGGGGGGCTCTGGAATGGGGGGCAATGGGGGGGGGAAGAGATGGGGGAGCTCTGGGATGGGGGCAATGGGAGCAAGGGATACTGGGATGGGGGGAACTGGGATGGGGGGACTGGAATGGAGGGATACTGGGATGGGGGGAACTGGGATCAAGGGATACTGGGATGGTGGGCACTGTGATGGGGGGAAACTGCGATCAAGGCATACTGCGATGGGGGAACTGGGATTGGGGGCACTGGAATAGGGATCACTGGGATGGGGGGCAATGGGAGGGGGATCACTGGGGGGGGCACTGGGATGGGGATCACTGGGATGGGGGGCACTGGGAGGGGGATCACTAGGATCAAGAGATACTGGGATGGGGGGCACTGGGATGGGGGCACTGGGATTGGGAAGCACTGGGATGGGGATTAGTGGGAGGGAGATCACTGGGATGGGGGCACTTGGATGGGGGGCACTGGGATGGGGATCACTGGGATGGGGGTTACTGGGATAAAGGGATACTGGGATGGGGGCACTGGGATCAAGGGATACTGGGATCGGGATGCACTGGGATGGGGATCACTGGGATAGGGGGTACTGGGATGGAGGGGGGAGCACTGGGATGAGAGCATTGGGATTGGGAGCACTGCGAATGATTCCCTATGGGTCCCTATGGGGTTCCCTATGGGGTTCCCTATGGATCCCTATGGGGGTCCCTATGGGTCCCTATGGTTCCCTATGGGGGTCCCTATGGTTCCCTATGGGGTTCCCTATGGTTCCCTATGGGGTTCCCTATGGGGTTCCCTATGGGGTTCCCTATGGGGTTCCCTATGGTTCCCTATGGGGTTCCCTATGGGGTTCCCTATGGGGTTCCCTATGGGTCCCTATGGGGTTCCCTATGGTTCCCTATGTGTCCCTATGGGGTTCCCTATGGGGTTCCCTATGGTTCCCTATGGTTCCCTATGGGGTTCCCTATGGGTCCCTATGGTTCCCTATGGGGTTCCCTATGGGGTTCCCTATGGTTCCTATGGGGTTCCCCATGTCCCCCCGTGTGCCCCCCCCAGCCTGCCGCGTGCTCTACGTGGGCTCTGCGGGCACCGAGTCCCTGACGGGGCCGCCCGCGGTGGCCAAGGCCGCGGGTTCGATCCTGGGGGACCCCGCGCGGGCCCCCCCGGGCCCCGTGCACTTCCAGGTGACGGCGCAGGGCATCACGCTCACAGACACCGAGCGCAGGTGGGGACCCCGGCACCCCCCATCGGCACCCCCCCATGGGACACCCAATGGCACCCCCCCATGGGACATCCTATGGGATACCCCTATGGTACCCCCAATGGGACCCCCCCCATGGCACCCCCCTTGGGACCCCCAATAAAACACCCCATGGGACCCCCTTCAACGGGACCCCCCCATTGTCACCCCCCCCATGGGACACCCCTATGAGACCCCCAATGGACTCCCCGCATGGGACCCCCAATGGAACACCCCACGGGACCCCCCCATGGGACCACCAATGGAACATCCCATGGAACCCCCCCATGGGACCACCAATGGACCCCCCCCCCATGGGACCCCCCTCAATGGGACCCCCAATGGGAACACCCATTGTCACCCCCCCATGAGCCATCTTGAGCCATCCATTGGGGGAACTCCCCCACCCATGGGACCACCATTGGGCCCCCCCCATGGACCATGATTTGGGGGACCCCCAAACCCCTTCTCCCCCCAACCATCTTCTGGGGCACCCCCCAAACTATCCATGGGGGAGGGGTCCCAATCCCCTTCCCAGCATCACATCCCCCCCCCCAAAACCATCATGTGGGGGGGTCCCAATCCCCTTCCCAGCATCACCCCCCCCACCCCATCACCTATGGGCCCCCCCTGGTCCATGGGGGTGCCCCCCCCCTCCCATCTCACCCCATGCCCCCCCCCAGGCTCTTCTTCCGCCGGCACTACCCCACCAGCAGCATCACGCACTGCAGCACTGACCCACAGGACCGCAGGTGGGGGGGGACGTCTTGGGGGGGGGGGTGGGAGCACATTGTGGGGGGGCAGTGAGCACCCCATTAACACACAGCCCCCCCCCCCCCCATACACACAGATGGGTGAATCCGGATGGAACCACCTCCAAGTAAGTACCACGGGCAAAAGGGGGGGTTATGATGGGGAGGGATCCCCCCATCATCTCCCCCCCCCATCATCTTCCCTCCCCATCATCTTCCTCTCCTGTCTCTTTTACCCCCCCATCATTATCATCCCCCCCCCCCCATCATCTTCCCCCCCATGGCTCCTTTACCCCCCAATCATCTCCCCCCCACATCATCTTCCCCCCCCATGGCTCTTTTACCCCCCCATCATCTTTCCCCCCTTCTTCTTCCCCCCCTCCATCATCTTCCCCCCATCATCATCATCCCCCCTTCATCTCCCCCCCATCATCTTCCCCCCCTATGGCTCCTTTACCCCCCAATCATCTCCCCCCCCCCATCACCTTCCCCCCAATGGCTCTTTTACCCCCCCCATCTCCCCCATCTTCTTCCCCCCATCATCATCATCCCCCCCCCATCTTCTTCCCCCCCCATGGCTCTTTTACCCCCCCATCTTCCCCCCCATCACCTGCCCCCCATCATCCTCATCCCCCCTTCATCCCCCCTCCCACCCATCTTCCCCCCCCCATGGCTCTTTTACCCCCCCATCATCTTCCCCCCATGGCTCTTTTACCCCCCCATCTTTCCCCACATCTTCTCCCACCACCTCATCTCCCTCCATCCCCCACCTCCCCACGCCCCCACGCCCCCATCTTCCCCCTATGGCTCCTTTACCCCCCCATTTCTCTCTGTTGCCGCTCCCCCCAGGATCTTTGGCTTCGTGGCTCGGCAATGGGGGGGGGGCCCGGGGGGGGCCAATTCCTGCCACCTCTTTGCCGAGCTGGACCCGGAGCAGCCGGCCGGAGCCATCGTCACCTTCATCACCAAGGTGCTGCTGGGCACCCGCCGCCAGTGAGGCCCCCTCGGGACCCCCCATTACCGGGGGGGGTCCCCCCAATAAAGCCAAGCCTGTATTTGTCCAACAATGGGTTTATCTGAGCGCCTGGGGGGGCTGATATAATATATGGAGGGGGGTGTAGGGATGGGGGCACAGACCCCCCCTTGTGCAAACACCAGTGTGAACCCCCAAACCCAGCTCCTCCTTTAGCACTGGGGGGGGTTACATTCAGAATGGGGGGGGGGAACAGCATCAATTGGGGGGGGTCCCTTTAAATCTACCCCTCCCCCCCATGGATAAGGGAGTGAATAACACAGATTGGAGGGGGAATAATATATTGGGGGGGGGTGTAGGGATGGGGGGCACAGACCCCCCCCTTGACCCCCCCATGTGCAAACACCAATGTGAACCCCCAAACCCAGCTCCTCCTTTAGCACTGGGGGGGGGGGGCAATGTGGGGGGGTTACATTCAGAATGGGGGGGGGGGGTAACAGCATCAATTGGGGGGGGGTCCCTTTAAAAGAACCCCCAAACCCAGCTCCTCCTTTAGCACTGAGGGGGGGTTACATTCAGAATGTGGGGGTAACAGCATTAATTGGGGGGGGTCCCTTTAAATCTACCCCCCCCATGGATAAGGGAGTGAATAACACAGATTGGAGGGGGAATAATGTATTGGGGGGAAATAATACATTGGGGGGAATGGCATTAAAGTGCATGGGGGGGGGGAAGGAAATGGGGGAGGTTATGGGGGGGCCCCCCCTACCCGCTGAGGGGGTGCAGATCCACCTTCACCTTCTCCCCCGTGCTCAGCATTCCCACTGTGGGGAAGTACCCCCCGGGGGGCACCAGCGCCTCCTTCTTGCCAATGATCTGCCCATTGCGGGTGAAGAACACCTTGGGGGGGCATGGAGATATGGGGGGGGGGGGTCAGGGTACCCCCAAAGCACAACAACTGCACCCCCCCATGTATACCCATAGGGATGGAGGGGGGGGGGGACGGTACATGGGACAAGGAGGAGGAAGGGGTAGGGGAGGTTTGGGGGGGGGGTTGGAGGGGATAGAGGGGGTGTGGGGAGGTTATGGGGGGGTTTGGGGGGGTTTAAGGGAGTTAAAGGGGGTTAGGATGTGATTTAGGAGAGATTTGGGGGGATTGGAGAGGGGTTTAAGGGGGGTTAGGAGAGGTTTGGGGGGGTTATGGGGGCTTTTAGGACAGGTTTGGGGGGGTTAGGAGAGGTTTGGGGGGTAATGGGGGGTTTAGGGTGGGGTTAAGGGAGGTTTGGGGGGGTCACGGGGGGGGTTGGGGTAGTTTTAGGACAGGTTTGGGGGGTTATGGGGGGTTCGGGGGAATTTGGGGGATGCTTGGAAAGAGTCGGGGGGGTTTAGGGGAAGTTGGGGCAGGCTTGGAGGGGTTGGGGGGGGCTGGGGGGTTGTGGAGGTTTTGGGGTGGTTTATGGAGGTTTATGGAGGTTTTGGGGTGGTCAGTGGAGGTCTATGGGGTCAGTGGAGGTCTATGGGGGTCAATGGATGTTTATGAAAGTCAAAGGAAGTCAATGGGGGTCAATGGAGGTCTATGGGTGTAAACAGAGGTCTATAGGGGTCAATGGGTTCAACGGTGGTCAATGGAGGTCTATGGGGGTCAATGGTGGTCAGTGGAGGTCTATGGGGGTCAGTGGAGGTCTATGGGGGTCAGTGGGGTCAATGGTGGTCAACGGAGGTCTATGGGGGTCAATGGGGTCAATGGTGGTCAATGGAGGTCTATGGGGGTCAACGGAGGTCTATGGGGGTCTATGGAAGTCAAGAGGTCTATGGTGGTCAATGGGGTCAATGGTGGTCAATGGAGGTCTATGGGGGTCTATGGAGGTCAGAGGTCTATGGGGGTCAATGGGGTCAATGGTGGTCAATGGATGTCTACGGGGGTCAATGGAGGTCAACAGAAGTCTATGGAAGTCAACGGGGGCAATGGAGGTCTATGGGGGTCAATGGAGGTCTGTGGGGGTCAATGGTGGTCAATGGAGGTCTATGGTGGTCAATGGAGGTCAACGGGGTCAATAGTGGTCAATGGAGGTCTATAGGAGTCAGTGGAGGTCAACGGAGGTCTATGGGGTCAATGGAGGTCAATGGGGTCAACGATGGTGAATGGAGGTCTATGGTGGTCAATGGAGGTCAATAGTGGTCAATGGAGCTCTATGGGGGTCAATGGAGGTCTATGGGGGTCAATGGGGTCAACGGTGGTCAATGGAGGTCTATGGGGTCAATGGAGGTCAATGGTGGTCAATGGTGGTCAATGGAGGTCAATGGGGTCACTGGAGGCCCCTCCTTACCACCACCTTCCTGCCGCCGTGCTCGGGCTCCAGCTCCTCTCCATCCTCCTCCTCCTCCTCCTCGGGGGGCAGGTACATCACGTTCCGCACCGCGCGGCCCCGCACCTCCCCCCCGTCGCTGGGGTCGTCGCTGTCACCTGCAGGGGGCGACAGTCACGACATGACGTCACAGACACCCCCACCCCCCCCGAGCCCCCCCATAGCCTCTCCACAGCACCCCCAAGATCATCATAGCCCCCTAGAGCCCCCCCATGCTCCCCCATAGCCCCCCCAATACCCCCACAGTCCCCCCACAACCCCTCCATAACACCCCCTGAGCTCCCCATAGGCTCCCATAGCCCCCCCATATACCCCTTGAGCCCCCCATAGCACCCCCCATTGCCCCCTCCAGCTCCCCCACACCCCCCTTAAGCCCTCCATAGCCCCCTCATAGCCCCCCACAAAACCACCCCAAGACCCCCAATACCCCCCCAAGCTCCCCATAGCTCATCATTACCCTCTCACAGCCCCCCAGAGCACCCATAGACCCCCCCAAACCCTTCTAAACCCCCCCAAACCCTCTCACAGCCCCTATATCCCCCCATTGCCCCCTATAGCCCCTCCTCTTGCCCCCATAGCCCATCATTACCCTCTCACAGCCCCTCCAGAGCACCCATAGACCCCCCCAAACCCTTCTAAATCCCCCCCAAACCCTCTCACAGCCCCTATAGCCCCCCCATAGCCCCCACCCTCGCTGTCCAGGCTGTAGTCCCTCGGGAACATGATGCCACAGCCCATGATGTCGCCCTTGTAGCAGCGGGGTCCAAAGGGGTCCCCAACTCCGCTGCCATGGAACAGCTTCCCATCATCTGGGGGGGGTGGTGCAGCGTTAAAGGGACCCCCCACTGCCACCCCACACCCCCCAGGGCACCCCCCCCATGGCCATGGGGGTCCCCCTTCAGTTTAAGGGGGTGCCATGTTTGAGGGGTTCCCCGCAGTGGGAGGGGGTTCCCTATGTTTTGTGGGGTGTTAAAGTTTGGGGGATCCCCTGTTTTCAGGGGGGGGGCCCTACAGTTGTGGGGTCTCATGTTTGAGGGGTTCCCCATTGGGGTCCCAATGATTTTAAAGGGGATTCCCTTGATTTTGGGGGGTTCTCTTGGATTGGGGTGGGACACATTTAAGGGGGTTCCCCATGGCTTAGGGGGGTCCCATGTGCAGGAAGGGGGGGGTCCCACCTGCATGATAGGCGACCGAGCCCCTGCTCCAGCCGGGATGCCGGTTCTTGGGGTAGTCCTGGCGGGGGGAAAGAGGAAAGTGGGGGGGGTCAGCACTGGGGTGTCAATGGGAGGGTCTCTGGGGGGTCCCATAGGGGTGTCAATAGCAGGGTGTCAATGGGGGGTGTCAATGTGGGGGGTGTCAATGTGGGGGTCAATGTAGGGTCAATGGGGGTGTCAATGGGGGGTCAATGGGGGGGTGTCAATGGGGGGTCAATGTGGGGGTGTCAATGTGGGGGTGTCAATGGGGGTCAATGGGGAGGTGTCAATGGGGGTGTCAATGGGGGGTCAATGGGGGTGTCAATGGGGGGGGTCAATGGGGAGGTGTCAATGGGGGGGTGTCAATGGGGGGGTGTCAATGGGGGAGTGTCAATGGGGGGGGTCAATGTGGTGGTGTCAATGGGGGAGTCAATAGGGAGGTGTCAATGTGGTGGTGTCAATGGGGGGGTGTTAATGGGGGAGCGTCAATGGGGGGGTCAATGGGGAGGTGTCAATGGGGAGTGTCAATGTGGGAGCGTCAATGGGGGGGTCAATGGGGAGGTGTCAATGGGGGTGTCGATGGGGAGGTGTCAATGGGGGGGTCACCTTGCATGCCAGCCCCAGGGCTATGTAGCACTGGATGGGTCACACAGGGGTGTCAATGGGGGGGTTAATGGTGGTGTCAATGGGGGGGCTCAATGGTGATGTCAATGTGGGGGTGTCAATGGGGGTGCCAATGGGGGTGTCAATGGGGTCCTCACCTTGCGTGCCAGCCCCAGGGCTATGTAACACTTCTCGCCCGGGTCCACGATCTCCAGCTCAAAGTAGTGGCTGCGGGTGCTGAGCGGGCACCGCGCCTGGGCCAGCCCCACATCCACGATGCTCTTGCCCTGCCCCACGTACTCCAGCACCTGCAATGGGGACACGGCTATAGGGGACTGGGGGCAAAAGAGGGGTTTGGGGGGCACAGAGGGTTGGTAGCACCACATCCCCCCTTGTCCCCCATCCACACGGCGTCAGCCCATCACCACTGTGCCCCCACCCCCATTGGGTTGGGACACTGGGTGACCCCCATTCCCACTGTGCCCCCATTCCCACTGTGTCCTCATCCACACTGTGTCCCCATCCCCACTGTGCTCCCATCCCACTGACTGCCCTCATCCCCATTATGTCCCCACCCCCATCAGGTGCCCCATCCCCACTGGACTGAACACTGGGTGCCCCCATCCCCACTGAGTTGAACATTGGGTGCCCCCCTCCCCATCGGGTACCCCAGCCCCATTGGGTTGGACATTAGATGCCCCATCCCTATTAGGTTGGGACATTGGCTGCCCCCCTCCCCATTGGATGCCCCCCCCATTGGGTGCCCTCCTCCCCACTGGGTGCTGCAATCCCCATTAGGCTGGACATTGAGTGCCCTCATCCCCATTAGATTGGACATTGGGTACCCCCATCCCCACTGGTTTGGACACCGGTTACCCCCCTCCCCATCAGATGCCCCCCTCCCCATTGAGTTGAACATGCCCATTATGACCCCATCCCCATTGGGTACCCCCATCCCCATTGGGTTGGACATTGGGTACCCCATCCCCATTGGGTGCCCCCATCCCCATTGGGTTGGGACATTGGGTACCCCATCCCCATTGGGTTGGACATGCCCATTATGTCCCCATCCCCATTGGGTGCACCCATCCCCACTGGGTTGGGACATTGGGTACCCCCATCCATGTTGGGTATCCCCTCCCCATTGGGTGCCCCCCTCCCCATTGAGTTGGACATGCCCATTATGTACCCATCCCCATTGGGCTGGGACATTGGGTGCCCCCCTCCCCATCGGATGCCTCCTTGCCCATTATGTCCCCATCCCCATTGGGTACCCCCATCCCCATTGGGTTGGACATTGCGTGCCAACCTCTCCATTGGGTGCCTCGATCCCTATTGGGCTGGACACTGGGTGCCCCCCTCCCCATCAGATGCCTCCCTCCCCATTGAGTTGGACATGCCCATTATGTCCCCATCCCCATTGGGTTGGGACATTGGGGACCCCCATCTATGTTGGGTATCCCCTCCTCATCGGATGCCTCCTTGCCCATTATGTCCTCCTCCCCACTGGGTACCCCCTCCCCATTGGGTTAGGACATTGGGTACCCCCATCTATGTTGGGTATCCCCTGCCCATTGGGTGCCCCCCTCCCCATTGGGTGCCCCCCTCTCCCGGCGCTGACCGTCCCGCAGGCGCGCACGTCGTGCAGGCGGCCCCACTCCTCCTCCCCGCTGTCCACCACCATGCGGTCGTCGGGCTCGGGCCGCAGCGCTGCCCGCAGGTGCAGCCGCACCTCCTCCCCCAGAGAGTGCATCCCCACGGCCGGGAAGAGCCCCTCAGCGCAGAGCGGCACCTCCGTGGAGCCCACCTGTGATAGTGGGAGCAATGGGGATAATGGGGGTAATGGGGGTAATGGGGTAATGGGGGTAATGGGAGCAATGGGGGTAATGGGGGTAATTGGGTAAGGGGGGTAATGGGGGCAATGGAGGCAATGGGGTAATGGGAGCAATGGGGTAAGGGGGTAATGGGGGCAATGGGGTAAGGGGGGTAATGGGGGCAATGGGGGCAATGGGGTAATGGGGGTAATGGGGGTAATGGGGGCAATGGGGTAATGGGGATAATGGGGGAATGGGGGCAATGGGGGTAATGGGGTCATGGGGGCAATGGGGGCAATGGGGGTAATGGGAGCAATGGGGTAATGGGGGTAATGGGAGCAATGGGGTAATGGGGGCAATGGGGTAATGGGATAATGGGGTAATGGGAGCAATGGGGTAATGGGGGCAATGGGGGCATGGGGGTAATGGGGGCAATGGAGGCAATGGGGTAATGGGGACAATGGTGGTAATGGGGGCAGTGGGGATAATGGGGGTAATGGGGGCAATGGGTGGCAATGGGTGACAAAGGTGTCAATGGGCGTCCACAGGTGTCAATGGGTGACAAAGGGTGTCAACGGGTGACAAAGGGTGTCAACAGGTATGAATGGGTGACAAGAGTGTCAGTGGTGGTCAACGGGGTAAATGGGCATCAATGGCTGTTGATAGATGTCAATGGGTGTCAATGGGTATCAATGGGTGTCAATGGGTGTCAATGGGTGTCAATGGGTGTCAATGGGTATCAATGGGTATCAATGGGTATCAATGGGTGTCAATGGGTGTCAATGGGTATCAATGGGTGTCAATGGGTATCAATGGGTGTCAATGGGTGTCAATGGGTATCAATGGGTTTCAATGGGTATCAATGGGTGTCAATGGGTATCAATGGGTATCAATGGGTGTCAATGGGTATCAATGGGTATCAATGGGTGTCAATGGGTATCAATGGGTGTCAATGGGTGTCAATGGGTATCAATGGGTGTCAATGGGTGTCAATGGGTATCAATGGGTGTCAATGGGTGTCAATGGGTGTCAATGGGTGTCGATGGCTCTCACCCTCTTGCCGTTGCGGGTGAAGAACACGTGCGCCGTGCGCACCTCCAGGGACACGCGCTCGATGCCGCAGCCAACGCGGTCGCCGGAGCTGCACTTGGAGCCGAACTGACGGCCCTTGGCCCGGCCACTGTAGAGCCTGGGGGGTACAGACAGTGTACAGCATGGGGGTACAGTGTACAGCATGGGGGTACAGACACTGTACAGAATGGGGGTACAGTGTACAGCATGGGGGTACAGACACTGTACAGAATGGGGGTACAGACACTGTACAGAATGGGGGTACAGACAGTGTACAGAACGGGGGTACAGACACTGTACAGAATGGGGGTACAGAGAGTGTACAGAATGGGGGTACAGACAGTGTACAGAACGGGGGTACAGACAGTGTACAGAATGGGGGTACAGACACTGTGCAGAATGGGGGTACAGACAGTGTACAGAATGGGGGTACAGACACTGTACAGCATGAGGGTACAGATACTGTGCAGAATGGGGGTACAGACAGTGTACAGAATGGGGGTACAGACACTGTACATACAGCATGGGGATACAGACAGTGTACAGAAGGGGGGTACAGACAGTGTACAGAATGGGGGTACAGACAGTATACAGCATGGGGGTACAGACAGTGTACAGAATAGGGGGGGTTCCAGCAGGTCCTGGCAGTCCCCTCAGGTCCTAGCAGATGCCTTTGGGTGCTGCCCCCCCCCCCCAGGTCCCATCAGCTCGCACTCACTTGCCATCATCACCATGGTAGGCCACAGAGCCGGGCAGCCAGCCGGGCTGGTGGTCCAGGCTGTAGAACTGGGGCACCAGCCCCACGGCGATGGTGCCCCTCACACCGCTGTCCACGATGGACACCTTTGGGGTCACAAACACCAAAGGTCATTGGGAACCCCCCCCCCTTCCATTCACATCCATTGGGGGGACCCCCCCCTAAAGCATGGCCTCACCTCGAAGTAGTTGTTGTCCCTGGTGAGGGGCCGTGGGGCCACGTAGCAGCCGACCTCACCGGAGCTCCCGTGGTAGCTGCAATGGGGATGGGATGGGGGGGCCATGAGGGGGGGGCTCAGACTTGGGGGGTGAGGAGCTCCCCCCCCCCATGCAGGGCTGCACCCCCAGAGCAGGATCCTGACCCCATTGTGGGCAGTGCTGGTGCCCCCAATGCAAGGACATGGAGGTGGTCCAGGAGGATGCTCAGGGGTTGGAGCAGCCCCCATAGGAGCCAGGCTGGGAACACTGGGGCTGGAGGGATGGGGCAAGGGGTGATGGGTTCACACTGGAGCAGGTGGGATCGAGGGATGTTCTTCCCTGTGAGGGTGCTGGGATCCAAGGGCATCCTGGTCTGGATTGGGAATAGCGTGGCCAGCGGGATGAGGGATGGGATAATCCCACTGGGGAGGGAATCCTGGGCTCAGCCCCAGGCCCCTCAGGACCCTGGAGCACAAATCCCACGAGGAATGGGATCAGGGGGGAGCACAGCTCCGGGAGAGGAAAATCCCAGGATCCGGGTTGGAATGGACCTCGTGGATCCTCAAAGGATGGAGCCCGGAGGGGCTGCTCCCTGCTCCCAAGGTATGGGACAAGAGGGAACGGCCTCCAGCTGCACCAGGGCAGGTTTGGATGGAGCTGAGGAGCAATCCCTGCCCCAGAGGGTGCTCAGCATTGGAACAGGCTCCGGGGGAAGAGATGGGATCCGCACCCCTGGAACTGTGCAAGCATCCGGGGCTTCACGGTGCCCTGGGGGATGCAGAGGGGGCCACGAGAATGCTCCAGGGATGCTGGGGAGGGACCTGCACCAGGGGCTGGAGCGATGGGACAGGGGGTGATGGGTTCAGGCTGGAACAGGGGGGGCCGGGTTGGATGCAGGGAAGCTCTTCCCTGTTGGGACACCGGGATGGGGTCAGTGGAGAAGGTTGGGCTGCTCCATCCCATCCCATCCCATCCCATCCCATCCCATCCCATCCCATCCCACCCGGGCTGGACACAGGGGCCCATGGCAGGGGTTGGGGCGCACCTGAGGGTGTCCCCATCCACCAGGATGTGCTTGGAGCGCTCCTGGAAGCGGCCGGCGCGGACCTCGCGGATCTCGCGGATGCGCCGGCGCCAGTTGAGGAACCTGTAGTGCAGGTGGAGGTCATCCATGGCGCGGGCAGAGCTGCGGGGGGAGCCGGTCAGAGCCCCCCGGGCACACAGACCCCGGGGCACACACAGACCCCAATAGGCACCAATAGATCCCACTGGGCACCAATAAACCCCAATGACACCAACAGATCCCAATAGCACCAATAGACCCCAATGGGCACCAATAGATCCCATGGACACCAATAAACCCCAATGACACCAACAGATCCCAATAGCACCAATAGACCCCAATGGGCAGCAATAGATCCCAATGGCACCAACAGATCCCAGTAGCACCAACAGACCCCAGTGGGCACCAATACATCCCAATGAACACAGAGAACCCCAGGGGCACACACAGACCCCATGGGCAACAACAGACACCATGGGCACCAATAGACCCCAATGACACCAACAGATCCCAATGACACCAGTAGATCCGAACAGCACCAATAGACCCCAATGGGCACCAACAGATCCCAATGGGCACAAATAGACCCCAATAGGCACCAACAGACCCCAATGGGCACACAGACCCCCCCCTATGGGCACAACAGACCCCATGGGCACTACAGACCCCAATGGTCACCAACAGACCCCAGTGGACACCAACATACCCCAATGGGCAGAGACACCCCCCCATGGGCACCCACCCCCCCCACAGCACCCACTCCATCACTGCTGACCCCGGCCTCCCCAGCCCGGCTCCCCATAGCAGGGACCCCCATAAGCCCTCCATACCCCAGCCCCACAACCGCCCCCCCCATGTCCCGTTCTCCCCATATTAAGCACCCCCATAACCCCCCCATACCCCAACCCCACAACCGCCCTCCCGTTCTCCCCATACCGAGGCCCCCCCGCTCCCAGGCCCTCACCGGCCCCGCTCCCTCCATGGGGCTCCCCTCTCCGGCCTGCTCTGCTCACATCCGGGTCCCCGCGCTTCCGCCTCCGCTTCCTTCCGCCCCTCCCACTTCGCGCCGCTCGACCAATCGCTGCGCTGCGAGCTCTGACTGACGGCTTTTTCAGCCAATCGAGAGCCCAAAGAGAGGGTGGGAGTGAGGGGGGAGAGGAGAGCGGCGGAGCGTGAGCGCGCCCCCTGGGGACGTGCGGGGAACCCCCAAGCCACGCCCTTCCCAAAGCCACGCCTCCCATCGGTGAAGCCACGCCCCCTCTTCCCGGTCCCTCCACTCCGTGGCGGGAGAGCGCGAGCAGCGCGGGAACAGGAAGCGGTACCGGGGGGGGAGGATCGGTCTGATGGGGGCGGAGGAGGGGGGCAATGGGGGGGCAATGGGGGGATCCGGAACGGGGGGGACAGCGGGGACCGGGCTGAGGAACAAAGGGGGGGTCACCAGGCACGATGGTGACCGGGTCATCTCTGGAGGAGGGGCACCCCAGTGGGACCACTATGGTGTGGGGTGATGACCCCCCATCCCCAGTTCCCCATTGGGTGCTGATGCCCCCCCATCACCAGGTCACCCTTAGGTGCTGATGCCCCCCCCAGTCCCCACATCCCCATCGGGTGCTGATGCCCCCCCATCCCCAGGTCCCTATTGGGTGCTGATGCCCCCCCCATCCCCAGGTCCCCATTGGCTGCTGATGCCCCCCCCATCCCTGAGTCACCATTGGGTGCTCATGACCATCCCCATCCCCACGTCCCCATTGGGTGCTGATGCCCCCCCCCATCCGCAGGTCCCCATCGGGTGCTGATGCCCCCCCATCCCCAGGTCCCCATTGGGTGCTGATGCCCCCCCCATCCCCAGGTCCCCATTGGGTGCTGATGCCCCCCCCATCCCCAGGTCCCCATTGGGTGCTGATGCCCCCCCATCCCAGGTCCCCATTGGATGCTAATGCCCCCCCAATCCCCAGGTCCCCATTCGGTGCTGATGCCCCCCCCCCAATCCCCAGGTCCCCATTGAGTGCTGATACCCTCCCCATCCCCAGGTCACCCTTAGGTGCTAATGCCCCCCACATCCCCAGGTCCCCATTGGGTGCTGATGCCCCCCCCATCTGAGGTCCCCATTGCGTGCTGATGCCCCCCCCATCTCCAGGTCCCCATTGGGTGCTGATGCTCCCCCCGATCCCCAGGTCCCCATTGGGTGCTGATGCCCCCCCATCCGAGGTCCCCATTGGGTGCTGATGCCTCCCCATCCCCAGGTCCCCATTGGGTGCTGATGCCCCCCCCATCCCAATGTCTGCCTGCGAGCGGTCCACACTGCTGGCGCTGCAGGAGGAGCTGAGCGAGGAGGAGCTGCAGCGCTTCAAGTTCCTGCTGGGGGGGCACATTCCCACGGGGATGCTGGCTCCCGCCTCCCGCCCGGAGCTCTGCTCCATCCTGCTCCAGCGCTTCCCATCCCGCGCCTTGGCCATCACCGCGGGGCTCCTGCACCGAATGGGCCGCCACGACCTGCTCCAGCGCTTCCAGCTCCCGCGGGATGCGGACGGCTCCGTCGGGATGGAGCTTGAGGATGCTCCGGCTGCATCCCAATGCCACCCCATGGCTCCATCACTGCCTCCTCCTCGCCGCCTGTCGGAGCGGGAGCTGATGCGGGTCGCGCAGCGCCTGGGCCGGGAGTGGCAGGAGGTTGGGATCGTGTGCCTGGGGCTGGAGAAGAGCCGCCTGGAGCAGATCCGTGCGGATCATCCCCACAGCCTCGTGCTCCAGAGCTTCGAGATGCTGCGGGAATGGAGCCGGCGCCAGCGGGCCCAGGCCACGGCACCGCAGCTCCGCGCCAGCCTCAGCTGCGCCAGTGTGGATCCCGATGTGTTCGACCTGCTCCAGGACTGAGGAATCCCCCCCCACACACACCCCATTGCTTTCCTTGGGGGGGGGGACACAACACCCCCAAAAGGGAGCAGTAAAATGGTTTTTATTCCACCCATCCCAGTGTCCTGAAACCGGATTGGAGGGGGCAGGAAAGGGGAAAGGGGGGGATGTGGAGCGCCTGCTCCTCAGGGATGCAGGGATCACAGATCCCATCCCAGGGCCCTGCAGGTTGGGGGGGCTCAAATCAGAAGCAGGGATGGAAGAACTCCACCTGTGGGGGTGGGAACAGGAAGAGGAGATCAAAAAGGGGGGGGGTATTTCCTGCCCCCCCCCGCCCCATTTGGGGACCCCCATGCTTGGGGCAGGTCCCTTCTGCTGCCCAGGGCTTGGTGATGCTGTAGGGGGGTGCATTGGAAACCACACCTGGGGCTACAGCACTGATATTATGGGGGGGGCACAATAAAGCCCATCTTGGGGCCATGGATGGGTTGTATTAAATGGGAGGGGGTTTAAAACCACCCCCTTGGCCATGGTAATGGGGTGTTAAAGGGGGGAGCACATTGAACCCACTCTGGGGCTATGGCAAGGTGGTGTTATAAGGGGAGGGGGTATTAGAGTCCAGCCCAGTGAGTAGAGCACACGTCCAATGGTGCCAGCACCATGGCAATCCATCCAGCTCCATCACTCCATCTGGATGCAGCCATCGTATCCTGGAGCACACATCCAATGGTGCCAGCACCATGGCAATCCTTCATCCAGCTCCATCACTCCATCTGGATGCATCCATTGTACCCTGGAGCACACATCCAATGGTGCCAGCACCATGGCAATCCTTCACCCAGCTCCATCACTCCATCTGGATGCATCCATTGTACCCTGGAGCACACATCCAATGGTGCCAGCACCATGGCAATCCTTCATCCAGCTCCATCACTCCATCTGGATGCATCCATTGTACCCTGGAGCACACATCCAATGGTGCCAGCACCATGGCAATCCTTCACCCAGCTCCATCACTCCATCTGGATGCATCCATCGTATCCTGGAGCACACATCCAATGGTGCCAGCACCATGGCAATCCTTCATCCAGCTCCATCACTCCATCTGGATGCATCCATCGTATCCTGGAGCACACATCCAATGGTGCCAGCACCATGGCAATCCTTCATCCAGCTCCATCACTCCATCTGGATGCATCCATCGTATCCTGGAGCACACATCCAATGGTGCCAGCACCATGGCAATCCTTCATCCAGCTCCATCACTCCATCTGGATGCATCCATTGTATCCTGGAGCACACATCCAATGGTGCCAGCACCATGGCAATCCTTCATCCAGCTCCATCACTCCATCTGGATGCATCCATTGTATCCTGGAGCACACATCCAATGGTGCCAGCACCATGGCAATCCTTCATCCGGCTCCATCACTCCATCTGGATGCATCCATTGTATCCTGGAGCACACATCCAATGGTGCCAGCACCATGGCAATCCTTCATCCGGCTCCATCACTCCATCTGGATGCATCCATTGTATCCTGGAGCACACATCCAATGGTGCCAGCACCATGGCAATCCTTCATCCGGCTCCATCACTCCATCTGGATGCATCCATTGTATCCTGGAGCACACATCCAATGGTGCCAGCACCATGGCAATCCTTCATCCAGCTCCATCACTCCATCTGGATGCATCCATTGTATCCTGGAGCACACATCCAATGGTGCCAGCACCATGGCAATCCTTCATCCAGCTCCATCACTCCATCTGGATGCATCCATCGTATCCTGGAGCACACATCCAATGGTGCCAGCACCATGGCAATCCTTCATCCAATGGTGCCATCATTCCATCTGGATGCATCCATCGTATCCTGGAGGATACATCCAGCCCCGGCTCCAATGCCCAGTGTGCCCAGACAGAACCTGCTCCTGGGCATCCCCTGCCCATGGTGAGCTCCACATCCAACCAACACAGCAGAGGTCCCGTGACCAAAAATAACCAGCGTAAAATGGGGCCAAAAGCACCAAATAAGCAAAGAGAAACGGTCCTGATGGAAGCCAAGAGCTCCTCAAGCAGACACTGGGCCTTATGCACCCCAGTCCCCATGCACAGCCCCTCGCACCATGCCATGGGGAGCACCAATAGGGATAAAGGGGCAGGATGAGCACCAATAGGGATAAAGGGGCAGGATGAGCACCAATAGGGATAAAGGGGCAGGATGAGCACCAATAGGGATAAAGGGGCAGGATGAGCACCGATAGGGATAAAGGGGCAGGATGAGCACCAATAGGGATAAAGGGGCAGGATGAGCACCAATAGGGATAAAGGGGCAGGATGAGCACCGATAGGGATAAAGGGGCAGGATGAGCACCGATAGGGATAAAGGGGCAGGATGAGCACCAATAGGGATAAAGGGGCAGGATGAGCACCAATGGGGATAAAGGGGCAGGATGAGCACCAATAGGGATAAAGGGGCAGGATGAGACCCAGCCTTTGGAGCACACAAAGGGTGCTGATCATTGACCAAAGCTCAACCATGGGTGCTCCCCCCAGTTCCACCCCTGCTGCCTCTGGAATGCGATGGGAAGCTGGAAGCATCTCCTCTGTTCTGTATGGTTGGAGATGGGAGCGTGCTTCCAGCCCATGCAATTCCAGGTCTGTTCCACCCCAGACCCTCTGAGCCATGCATGGGGCCCGAAGTACCCAGTCCTCAAGGACCAATGCAGTCAGCATCCATCCCCCTTAGCATCCTCCTTCACCCACCCTGGTGCAGGGAAGCGGTTGCCTGGCAACCGCTGATGCTGGGTCCTCACTGGGCTGCCTGCAGGATGCCCAGAGCCAGGACCCCTTTCCCTATGCCCCATCCTTGCCACCGGCCACATCCCACGGACACCACGGCTTGGTGCTGCTTGGAGCAGGTTTATGAGGAGGGAAGGGCTCTGCTCAGAAGCACCAGCACCACAGCGATCGCAGGTCCAATCCTGATCTTATCCACCCCATTGGAGACCTCAGTATGAGCAAGGTCTGCTGCGCCAGGGACCCGATGGTGGCATCGCTGTCATCCAGCATCATCTCCAGGGCTGCATCCAAAGGGAATAGAGCCGGGATGAGGCCCCTGTGCCTGCACCTTGGCATCCCCCCCCCCCAAGGACCGTGCCTGCTCCTCACCTCC